TTAGCTGTGGGGGCAAATCTCTCACCATTTGTTTAGTCAACTTTAGCTTTTTTACTTTCCTTTCCTTCATCCGTTATCTTTTTTTCTATTGTTATAAATACTTTAGGGTGGGGGGAATTTTATATCTCTCATTATGATCCTTTTCAAATAAAAATTTCAATTTTCTCTGAAGCACAAGAAAGCTCTAGTGACCTCTATAGGTATGCATGTGAGATAAGAGGAGTTGCAATTATGTTAGTAGCCCAGATAGTGGGTGTGCTGCCTTCCTTAACTCAGAAAAGCAGTGTGTCACTTTAATAGTTATCCAGCTAGAAAGAGCCCGAGGTGGGGGGACAAGTAGTTTCCTCTGCATCTCTCTGGTGTAAGGGAGCATCACACCTCACCATGTGACTCCCAAAATGGCACAGAGCCACTTGGAATCCATGTTGCCTGGGTTCCAAATTAATCTATGGGATGTTATGAAATATTGCTCAAGATTATTAAAAATAGAAAATCTGTGGTTCCATCCACAGTCCAAATCTGCCATTTCCTTTCTCTGCCAAACAGCCCCCATGCTCACACATGCAGGCAGCACACTGTGGCCATATTATTTATTAAACAGAGCAAAATGAAGAGAAAAGAAAGGTGATTGCGTTTCTATGGAGACTTCTGTCCAATTTTATTCCCATGTCTCTTTCCACACCTACAGCTCATGGAAGAAGAACAGGAGGAAAGGAATGTGTGTCTTGGCCCCCACTTCTTCTGAGCACTATAGCAAGGGGAAGCAGGGAAACACAGAAGGGAAACAAGCCCTGTTTTCTGCCTGTTTCATGAGCTCTGCCTCATCTCTGCTGACCACTGCAGTCTGGGTGTCCAGGAACCAGGATTCAGGGGATACTCCTCCGTATACTCAGCTTCTCCAACGGTCCTGACCACCAGCAGACAGCATTTCTGACTGTGGCAGCCTGTGTGGCCTCAGTCACCCTGGCAATCTCAATGCCCAAAGTCAGCTTCTGCTCTTGAGCATGGGAACCAGCAACATTGGCTGTAAGGTCTGGCACCGAGCACCCCCACTTCTCGAAGAAAACCTCTGTCGAGAACAAAGCCTCCAGAAAATTGCCCTCAGACCCATCCAATGCCACAGAGCTCTCAGGATGTCACTTGTTCCTGTTACCTAGCTTTCCCTCTGTTGCTCATGGGTAGGGGAAAATGGCAACCAGAAGAAACTGGATTCCCAGGGAAGGATCGCAGAGAATGATGATAATCAGAAACCAAAGTATTGCTTGATCTCTGTGAATCATTATAACATCACTCCAGGCCCAGGGGAAAAATAATAACAATTGAGATAGATAAGTAGTATTTATATGGTATTTATTAAGTTGTTTATGCCTTTCAAGGTAAACTTGATGACTTTTTTTTTCCTTTTTGCAAGGCAATCGGGGTTAAGTGACCTGCCCAGGGTAACACAGATAGTGAGAATCATGTGTCTGAGGTCAGATTTGAACTCATGTCCTCCTGACTCCAGGGCTGGTGCTCTATCCACTGCGCCACCTAGCTGCTCCAACTTGATGACTTCTAAGTTGCCTTCCAACTCTCAATCTTCTCCTTTCCATTTCACCCATCATAGTGGTATGTTGTCATCTCTTTCCCTCTGCCTGACCACCCTCCCTCATAACATGACACGGGTAAGCAAAACTGATCCACAAAACGACTGGCTTTGCTACGTGAGTCTACGGAGAACAAGGCTAATCCCTCTCCCATGGGATAGTCCTTCTAATACTTGAAGATGGCTCTCATGTCCTTTGCTCCTTCATCCCTAGCTCCTTCAACAGATCATGATGTGGTATGGACCCAAGAATCCTCACCACCCTCATGAGCAAGAGAAAATTTGAGGAGGAGGCGGGGAGTTGCCCAGGATCACATCATATCTGAGGCAGGATTCAAACTCAGGTCTTCCTAACTCCAAGTTCTTCCCAATAACCCACGGCTCCACCCAGCTACAACAGCTCAATGCAAAGAAATCTGGGGAGGGAGGAAAGCACTGACAGCCTGGGAGACTCATGTCGGAGGTGACATTTGAACTGACCTTTGAAGGATGCTAGGAATTTTAAGAGGTAAAAGCAAGGAGAACATTCATTCCAGGCATCCATGGGAGATAGATGTGCAAAGACAAGGCAATAGGAGATCAAGTTGTCCTCCATCAGGAATAACTAGTGGCGATCATGTTTTGTTGTTCAGTCATTTTTCAGTTGTGTCTGACTCTTCATGACCCCATCTTGGCAAAGATACTGGAATGGTTTGCCATTTCCTTCTCCAGCTCATTTTACAGATGAAGAAACTGAGGCAAACAGGGTGAAGTGACATGCCCACACCTTTCCTGCTTGCTAAGCAACTTGTTTATTAATTGTTTGGCACATAAACATTCAATATGTTCTCATTATCAATTGTACCTTAAAGCATGGTGCTTTCCACTTTGAATTCAACTCTATTTCATAATATCATCCACCATTACCAAAATTCCACATATTATGGCTCTAACCACAGCACAACAAATCCTAGTTTAAGAATATAATTTGGTGACTGCTAGGTGGTGTGGTGGAGAGAGATTTGGATTTGAAGTCAGGAAGTCATGAGATCCAATCTGTCTTCAGATACTTATTAGCTGTTCAAACCCTGGGCAAGTCAAGTAACCCCTGTCTGCCTCAGTTTCCTCATCTGTAAAATGAAAATAACAATAGCCCTTACCACTCAGGGTTGTCTTGAGGATAAAATAATATATTTGTAAAGTATTTTGCAAACCTTAAAACACTGCATAAGCATTAGCTGTTACAATGGAAAGAAGAGTTGTGTCTGACTCTTGGTGACCCCAGGGACCATAGCGTGCCAGGTCTTTCTATCTTCCATTGTCTCCTAAAGTCTGTCCAAACTCATGTTTGTTGTTTCCACGACACAATCTGTCCATCTCATCCTCTGCCATCCCCTTCTCCTTTTGTCTTTGATCTTTTCCAACATCAGGGTCTTTTCCAATGAATCCTGTCTTCTCATTCAGTAGAAAAGAGACCTGAGTTCAGATACTAGCTTTGTAATTCATTACCTGTACAGTGAAGGCATTGGCCTGGGTCATCTTGACAATCCTTTTTAGTTCCAAATCCTATAAGCCTTCTCCTTCAGCAGATTCAGGACCCAGAAAGATCAGGCACCTTTAAGATCTGGACAGATCACCTGAGGAGCTCTAGCATCTCCTGTGAAAGGATGCGTTTGATAGCTTTTCTAGGAGAAATCCCAGCTGCAGCCCTGACCTCACCCTTTTGGCATAATGGGCGTCCCCATCACAGGTGTGCCTGCCCTGTCATCTACAGCACTCCATCTTAATTTCTTCCTCTGAGCTTTCCCACCCTTTCCGCTTTGGCAAAGAGTTCCAGAATCTGTTCCTGCCCAGCCCAGTGTGCTAGCCATCTCAGGTCTCCCAAAGTTCTCCTGACCCACCCTCCAGTCTTAATCATGGATATACACCTTTGAAGCACCTGCCAAGCCTCAGCCCTGCCCAGGTAGCCCCCAACTGGCTCCTGGGCTGATCCCTGCTCAACGAGTTCATTGTCATCCCTAGGACATTCTTCCTTTGTTTATTATGTGACATTTTCTGACCTTCTACTTATCTCTACCACTCTGGCTCTTCATTTAGAGGCAGCTGGGTGGGGCAATGTGGGAACTTGGAATCAGAGAGATCTGACTTTGATGTTTGCCTCAAACACTTACAAGCTGTGGAACCAGGGCATGCCACCTCTTTTGGCCTCAGTTTCCTCACTTGTAAAATGGAGCTAGTAATAGTACCTATCTCATGAGGTGGTTGTGAGGATCTAACAAGATAATATTTGTAAAACACTTGACAAACCTTAATGTATTACATAAATGCTATTATTATTATTATTATAGCATTGTACTAACTCAACAACAGAGAATTTTGAGTTAAACTCTGACAATTTTTGAGGAACTAGATGGAGCAACTGCTTAAACGTGTCAATCACAGATTGGCTTAATTTCAGGGGTTCTTAAAGCCCTGGGGGCCATGAACTTGTTTTAAAAAATATTTTGATAACTATATTTCCCCATAATTGGTTTCCTTTGTAATCCTTTGTATTTTATTTTACTCATTTAAAGACTTTATTTTGAGGAGGGGTCCCTTGGTTTCATCAGATTGATTGGCAAAGGGGTCCAGGACATACAAAAAGATTAAGAATTCTCTTTTCTATATTGTACTCATTCTCCAATTATCACTTATTCCAACACAAGACTGACAGTGCCATCTTATTAGACTGTTAAGACATGGGGGAAAATAAGATTTTCAATTTCCTGCTGAAGTCTTTCTTTTATGTGGCCTTTTTTTTTGAATTTGTCCATTTGGAAGGAGTTGTTTTTTTTTTTTATTGTCGTTGTTGTTGCGTGAGGCAATGAGGGTTAAGTGACTTGCCCAGGGTCACAGAGCTAGTAAATATCAAGTGTCTGAGGCCGGATTTGAATTGGAAGGAGTTTTTTCACCAAGTTGCTGCCCCCTAGCTTCCTTTCCTGTTCTGTCCCAGGTTTTCCCTTGGGTCAGGGGCTCTGATTTCAGAAATCCACCACAATCAGTGACTTTGCCCTACTTGTATTCAGTACTTCATTGCTTACTGTTCTTGCATCTATGGTACCCAATGCCAAGGGGGAGCATTTTTTGGGTGGGCATTTCAAGGGGCTCCAGCTCAGGGTCAAGGTGGGGAACTGGGGTGAAGGCTGCCGCCGAAGCAAGGTTAGGGAAAGGAAACACTCGTCTGTCTCCTTCCCCATACCGAGCTCACTTTTCATTTTTCCCATTTTCACTATGGGAAGTGCTTGCCTGTATCTTTTTCTTCTTCTCCTCCAGGGAAGCCAGCTGGATTGGGACAGAGACTGCGTGAGTCAGCCTGCCAGGGGAATTCTGTCCCCAACTCACCCGCAGCTCTGACAGATAACAATTAAGCTTTTGTTGTTTGATTTGATGTTTTTTTGAAGTTTTATTTTTCAAAATAAACAATATTTACATCTTTATTTCACAACTACAGCTCTATAGACTTCTTCAAAAACCTTTAAATATCTCTGTGGTAAACATTAGAAATCACAGATCAGCCCAAACCATGTCTTTTGATATTCATTGGATTTTTTTTTAACCTTTCAAGACCTAACTGAGGATGGGAATAAGAAAAACAAACCCAAGAGCAAGAATAAACTTCCATGGCTCCACACCCGGAGTTAGGCAGGCAGCATGTGAAACCCGGACTTGGCCCAGGGCCAGGATGGGAGAATTTCAAATGGCTTATAAATAAGACCCACTTTAAAGCAGCGAGGGGTTTGGTTAGGAGGAAGGGCAGGGTGCTTCATGTCATGGGCCCAAAGCAGGAGACAGAGGGAGGGCAGCCAGGTTGGGTCGGGGAAAACTGGGAGCTGGGGGAGAGGGGAAGACGAAGGCCCCAAGATGCCAATGCACATGGCAAGCCATCTCCGCACATTTAGGGCATGGGAACTGTCGGGAGGAGCTGGGAAGAAGGTGACTGAGGCACTAGGAACACAGAGTGACGGGACAAGATTTGTCTGGGACAAGGAAGGATGAGGAGAGAAGGCACCTTGGTCACTTCACTTTCCCAATAGGACTGTGGTAGTGCCTGCCTCCCAGCTGGCCAGGCATCCTCAGAGATGGATTAAGGATGAGTTCTCATGATAGAGTGTGAGTGATGGAGGGAAAGGCGTGATGTCTTTGGCCAGCCTTCCAGCTCATGACTAGCACCTCTGGATGCTCGCTGGCCCATCCCCTGCTTCTGAAGAGGCGGGTTTGGGGACTGGAGGCCCACGTCCCCAGGCTTTTCCTGAATGCCTGGCAGGCCCTAAGGCCATTAGAGTCTAGGAAGCGCTATTTGGCTTTATAAATGGCACTTGAGGTTGGTGTCTGTGGGAGGCAGCCTCAGACCTAGGCACTGAGGGAGTTATCCACAGAAGAACATGGGTAATGAGTGAGAACCCTTCATATGCTTCGGGCCTCGTGGCACCATCTCCCAGAAGCAAGAGAGTGGACGGACCAGCTTGCCCCCTCGACCTAGAGGGTAACGAAAGACATGCTCCAGGAGGGAGGAAGGGAGATGGGAGGAGGCAGCAGCTAATCTGGCCCTTGCAGTGAGCGTGGAGGCCACTGCCATGGGCATCGTCAGGGGTCTCTTACAAGGGAGCCCTAGGCACTTGAGGCTTTGAGAGGATCAAAGGGCAGCTCCCTGTTCCTTTTCCCATGGGTCTGTTTCCTTCACTCCTCTCTAGGGTTGTGGCTCTTTGGACTCAGGGCTCTTGACCACTGCTGCAGGACTGAGGCTACAGCAAGCCTGTGGGGCCATCAGCACCACGGTGAGTCTCAGGTGGGCAGGCTGCCAGGAGGGCATTACATGGGCACGTTGGAGTTTCTCAGTCACTGGAAGTCTTGAGAACAACTTCTTCACTTTTCTGGGATGCGTCAGGAAGGCGCTGGGCCCTCTTATCCTCGGGGAATCACTACCACCTCTCATTGGGCCAGTGAGGCTGCCCCACCCAGTGACCCAGGCATCCTGCGGGGGTCACCAGCTAAAGGGTGAGGGGAGGAAGTGTTAGCCAAGAGAGAGGGAAGGGTGGCACCAGGGAGAAAAGAGCAGGGGGCTGGGAAGGTGTTACTGCTCCTTCTCCGAGGTCTCTGGAATGAGGGTATCGAAGACTACATCCCAGATTTTGGAGGAGATGCCAAACCCTGGAGAGGGAGAGAAAGGACAAAGTCAGAAGAATAGAGAGGTACCATGGTAGACGGTGCCAGACTGGGAGTCAGGACCTGCATTCAAATTCTGTCTCAGACTCGTGCTGTGTGACCCTGAGCCAATCACTTCAGCCTCTCAGCCTCAGTTTCCTCAAATGCAGAAAGTTACATCTTTACTTTCACAAATCTCTAATCATAATTCAGCATTTCCTACAATCACGAATGTGGGCAACAAACCAGAGCTGTGTTAAAAGTACGTTACTGTCACCCAGAGACATTTTCATAGCACATTAAAGTTGTTGCAGAAATCTTCAAACGTAATTCATGCTCATCACTACTTCGAAATTATTGTAGCTATTTATCCCTATCGCAAGATACATGAACAAACCACAAATTAAAAAAATATTTTGATAATTGCATTGCAATAGAATTGGTTTCCTTTGTAATATTATATATTTTATTTTATGCATTTAAGAACGTGATTTTGAAAAAAGAAAACCGTCACAGTTGGCTAAAAATAAATAAGAAGATTTGAAAAAAAACCCTTGATTTTGGGGGTAGCTGGGTGGCACAGTAGGTAGAGTGCCAGCCCTGGAGTCAAGAGGATCTGAGTTCAGATCTGACCTCAGATACTTACTGTGTGACCCTGGGCAAGTCACTTCACTCCGAATGCCTCCAAAAATAAATAAATAAAAACATGATTTTGAGAAGGGGTCCATGGGCTTCACCAGACTGTTGACAAGGGTCCATGGCATTGAAAAGGTGAAGATGGCGTCTATGGTTCCCTTTAGCTCTAAAAGCTGTGAAGGATTCTGGAGAAGAGAGTGAGGCTGAGGACTTTGCAGAGCTCTGCCTTACTCATATCCAATTCACTCGCAAGGCAACACATCATCCTTATGATGTCATTGACCCTCTTGGAGAACAGAGGACCACCACCACCACCACCACCACCAAATGCTATGAAAGTGAGGCTTGGGGTTGGAGAAAAAGGTCTCAAGGAGGGTGGCCCTGAGTAGTCTCTGGTCATTTCCTTTTTTTCCTTCTCACTTTCTAGGAGACACCTATGCCAAGCCAATAGCTGCGGTTTAGGATTACTCCCTGCATTGCCTCTGCTGATCATGGGTAGTTTCATGAGCCAAGAATGGCACTTCTCAGAGGTGGGGGGAGTGATGGTGGTGAGGAGAGAGAGGGGAGGGGATGTGTAATCCTCCCTGGTGCCCTCCCGGCCCCCATACCTGACTTCTGGCGTTCAAAGTGGTGTTTGACATGGTAGGCCTTCATCTTGTACAGGTAGGTGCCCTTGGGTGGCGACCCATAGTGCAGGTAGTAGTGCATCATGTCATAGACGATGTAGCCAAGGAGGCCGCCCGTGAAGATGATGCCCGCGATGGCCTCAGGGAGGAGCAGGCGGAGCAACGCATAGGCGAAGGCAATTATCAGGGAAGCAGGCAGAGGGGGGAAGACCAGGCGGGAGCCATCATACGGGGACTAGGAATGGAGAAACAGCACAGTTGTCCCTGGGCCATGTCTGGAGGGGTAGCTGGCTCTGAGCCCCACCCTGGGAGGCCAGCTGGCAGCCCTATTGGCAGCAGAATGGGGAGCAAGGCCTGGGCAATGGCAGAGAACTACTTCATGCCAACAGTCATCTGACTATAGGTCAACATCTCAGGACAGGAAGTGACCCGGGAGGCTGTCCGGTCCAACCCTTTCCTGGGCAGGAATCCTCTCTACAATATCCCCGACAGTGGTCATTGAGCTTCTGCTTGGAGACCTCTAGTGACAAGGGACTCACTACCTCTCCCAGGCATCCCATTCAACTCTTAGACAGCTCTAATGATCAGCAAGTTTATGGAGCTACTCTCTCTACTGGGCTAAAGTCTGCTTCTTATATAACTAGAAGATTGAAGCTCTTGAGGCCACTCAAGGGTTCAGCTGACCTCTCACCCCATTTCCCAAGTCAAGATGGGCCTCAGCAACCTGTATGGGGATGGTCATGATTTTGGGGAGAGGACTTTCAAAGTTCAAGTCAAATTTGTTTAAGGGACTACTTCATATCCCTGTCACAGACAGTCTGTGACTAGTGGTGGCCACTTGGGAAAGACTGAAAGGTCTCCCTGCCTGGTGACATTGCTCCCATTTGCCTGAAATGTCCTTGATCAGAGGCTCTCCTGAAGGGGCCTTTTGGAGATGGCACATTGTGATTGATGGTGGCTCAATGTAAATGGGATCAGGTGCCCTACTAGCTGGCTGCCCTATTGGGTTGGATTCACTTATCTGTATGATCCATAGGAATGTAGAAAATAGAGCTCTGGGGATAAGATGGAAAAGAACAGTCCAGAACATGAGGAGGGCAGACCTGGCCCCAAGGAGCCAAAGGAAAGCTTGACAACACTAGATGAGGAGCAGGAGGATGCCAAAGATGAGTCTTGCCTCCTTCATGATTCTCCTTCAGGTTCTGTCCACCCAGATGACCAGAACCTCTGCTCCCCACAGCCCAGGACCTTGCTGACAAGGGTTTGTTTTACCTTTGACAGCATCAGTTCAGATCAGGAGGACTTCTGCCTGCCCACCCACCACCTCTACAATTCCCGTGGGCTTTCTAGCTCACTCCATCCCTCAGGCACAACCTTCACAAGGAGGCCTTTGTCTCTCATGATGGAGGGCAGTAGCTGGGGCTAGTGACTCCATGCCTGATCCCCTTCAGTGGAGCCTTTACCCTGGTGGAGAGGAAGGGAAGGGACCTCCTGCCCAGGACCCCTCACCTTGTGGTGCTGGCCATGGATGAGGAAGTGGAACATTATGAGGTAAGAGTTGCTAGCCGGCGGCTTCATGTGGAACACAAAGCGGTGAAGGGTGTATTCTACGGCACTCCATAACAATATCCCAATACCAAAGAAAAATGGGAATACGTACTTGGACACAGGGATGGCATACTCTGTATGGAGAGAGAAGGTGGTGAGCTGGGGTCAAGGGAATGGAGGCATTGAGCACACGTGCTAGGCCAAATATCACGGCCCCCTGTGGCACCACATAGAGTCAAGGGATCTTGGCGGTCATCTAGTCCAACTGGTTATCTGAAGAGGAATCCCCTAACATCCCAAGGAGGAGCCACCTGGCCTTCACTACAAGAGTGCTGGGAAATCTACCACCTCCTCAGCAGCCCAGCGCACTTTCTACCAACTCTAACTATGGGAAAATTTCCCTTAAAAATAGAAATCGGTCTCTTTGCCACTTCCACGCCTTTCTCCTAGTTCTTTTCTTTGGAGCCAAGTAAAGCAAGCCTAATCTCATGCCCTCTGATCACCACTGGGGCTTTGGGGGTGGACACAGGGAAGGCAAAGCATGAGGGCTAGGGGGATGGGGGAGCCAGGAAGGGTTCGAAGAATTGTAGAATGGTGGGAAGAGCCCTTGCCCTAACTGGAGTCAGGGAACCTCTCAATCAAGTGCTAGTGCTGCTGCTTACTAGTTGTGGGACACTGCACAAATCACTAAAGTGATACTGAAAGCATTTTGTAAACACTCTTCGGGGTGGGACTGGACCAGGCTGGGAATGAGAGGACAAGCCAGTATTTTGGAAGGGGCAGTGTGGCGCTGTAGGATCACTCGTGGGAGATGAGTTAATTCAGTTTAATCCAACAAAGCGTTTATTCAGCTCCTACCATTGGGGTGTGGTGGATAGTGCTGGCCTACACAGCTATCGGGGTGATATTCCTGAAGCACAGTTCTGACCAAACCACGCTCTTGCTCACCCTTTTATTTCCAGGATCAAATATAAACGCCACTGATATTTAAAACCCTTCCCAACCTTTCTAGATTTATTAGAAAGGCTATTCTTTTTTGTTGTTGTTGTTTGTTCATTTTTTTGTTTTTTTTTGCTAGGCAATGAGGTCAAGTGACTTTCCCAGGGTCACACAGCTAGTAAGTGTTATGTGTCTGAGGCCGAATTTGAACTCAGGTCCTCCTGACTCCAGGGCCAGTGCTCTATCCACTGCACCACCTAGAAAGGTTATTCTAAAGCTCCCTTCCCACACTCTCTAGTCCAGCCAAACTGGGTTTCTTGCTGTTCCTCACAAATTCCTTTGAGTTTCTTTGTATACACTCGCTCAAGAACATGTGGTCTCCCTAGTAGAGAGTGAGCTCCCTGAGGTCAGAGACTGTTTCATTTTTGACTTTGTAACCCTGGGCACATTGGAGGCACTTCCTGAATGCTTACTGACTGATCTTCCACATATCGATTACTTACGAGGTGCTCTGGGGATATCAAAACTAAAGCAGAAGTCCCTGCCCACCAGAAGCTTCTGTTCTCCTGGAACACGGCAGGGACACAGACAAGCCCAAGAACTGATTTGGGCAGGGAGAGAACACAAGCAAATGGAGACCAGAGAAAGCTTTCCAGAGGGAGCCACAACCAAGCTGGGGCTCACTGGATTCTCAAAGATTCAGAAAGGCAGAGCATGGCAGGCACTGAGGAGGACAGCCTAAGGAGATGCACAAATTCAAGGGATGAGGATGCTGGATGTGACCAATGTGGGAATTTGTTTTGTTTGATTACACATATTTGTTACAGGGAAAATAAATGCTTGTTAATTGAAAACTGAAAAAAGTTGAATTAAAAAAAATAACAACAAAAGAAAGGTGAGCAAAGATATGTGGGAGTTTACATACTAGCAAGTCCTCCATGAATGAAATGGTTTGAATCCCAGTAGTATCACTTTGTTTTGCTGGTTTAACCTTTTATCAGGTCCCTATATGCAAAGTCCCCAGCTTTGGCTAAGCCTTTCATAAGTCATAAAGTCATCTGGGGCCTGAGGCCAAAAAAAGTATTTCTATTGCGCTCCTGGCCACTTAGAGAAGCCCATTCCTATAGGTCAAGAATCTGCCCACCCCCTCACCCCAGCATCAGCCCCTGCCCGCCCCTGCTCTGGAGCTGGTACTGAGTGGCATCTTCCGAGCTGAGGCAAGAGAGGCTGGCCAAAGCTTCAATTTCTCTTCCCTGCCCCCCTGCCCCCCTGCCCCTCCTCCACGCCAGCTTCCAAGCAGCCCAGCCACTGTCTGCCATTGTTAGGGAGCCCAAGGCAGACAGTAGGCAATTCAGCCAGCAGAATTTCTGAGCAACAAGCCCTGCCCTGTCCAGCAGCTATTCAGCGTGGGTGGAGAACAGCGGAGTTGGCTGCAGGGCCGTGGGGGCTCGCAGACTGCACTTAACCCTTGCGGACTCGTCTTTGCATTTCCTCTTCCTCACCTTCTCTTGATATTGTGTAGCTATGAATGGAACATGTGGACTGTGCCTCAGTTTCCCCTGACTGACAATGCCTTCTTGACTGGTCTCGCTTCCCCCAGTCATGCTTTCTCTGATGACATCCTCTCTGCTGCTCCTTCTGAGGAATGTGCAATGTGTCCCAGCTTGCTCAAAACCGACACGGGCCGCTCGACTGCTTTTTGGGTATTCCTCAACCTTGTATATAGCAGGCATTTAATCAATGCTTTCCCTTGGCAAACTGCACCTGGCAGAGGCTTTGGGCACAGAGCTGCTTGGCATAAAATCCCCAATTTTCCGCAATGGAAAAGATGGAGGAAAGAAGAGCTCAGAATTAAAAGATGGGTCATGGCTATAGTTTCCAACTGATGGAGTCAGGCTTCCTTCTTTCACCTCCTCTACCCTCCTGGGCTCCTCATGCCAACTGCTGCTTCCTGGTCTGAGCCGCCTGCCCAAAAGAAGCTCCCAAACTGGGGGTGGAGTGGGGGAAAGTACCAGAAGACTCAAAGACAATCAGGTTTCTGTTCTTTGCTTTTGGAGGATCAAGTACTGGATGGAGGGTCAGGTATCACCTCCTTAATGAATACTTCCCTTGACCCCTCCAGCTGCCCAAACGATCCTGGGTTTGTTTTATGTATTTTCAGAATATGCTGCTATATGTACAGTCTCCCATTGGAATATAAGCTTCTCGAGGCCAGGGGCTGTTTGGCATTGTGCATGGCACACAGGAGGCACTTAATAGATGCTTGTTGAACGACTGATTGGTGCCTAATGAGATGTCTTGTATGTCATCACATTCCAATTCCCAGAGCTTGCTCCAGACCATGTCCCCTACCTTGAAGAGCAAGAGTTCCTTCCTCTGGGTCAAGCAGGCCCCCTATTTTTTCCCTAAGGTTCCCTTGCTTGACCGACACTAGCTTTTCTGGGGGAGAGATCCTGGCCAAATCCTTCTGTCTCGGGCATTTCTGCTGACAACCATGGAACACTCAGGGATGTCTCCTCTAGAATGGGCAAGAGAAACTAGATAGGGGAAATCAGATGGCTCCCCTCCCAACACAGAGACAGGCAAAGGAACTCTGGGAGGATCTGGTACCTGTGGTGAATGATGAGAAGAGTCGGACGTCATCCTGAGTGAGGGCTCTGAAGTAGAACCAGCTGAGGTACATCACCAATGGGGACCAGACAGCGAGAACAACAGGCCTGTAGGAGGGGCACAGGGGCAAGAAAAAAGAGAGGGCCCCATAAGGGCACTTGTGAGGAGGGTTTGGCTTCCCCAGGGATACACCAGGGGGAGAACTGAGGGGATAAGGAGACTCATGGGAAGGCCTGGAGTTAGAAGGGACCAGGCCTGTCCAAAGGCTCTGTGGCCATCTGATGACAGAATAGAGATTAGAGCCTTGTGCCTTGTAGCTGGGAACCCTGAACTAAGAGCATCGATGCTGCCTTTTTGGGGCAATGGGGTCAGTGGAAGGCAAGACTGCTCCAATGGGAACTAAAGACTGAAGGTGGGGAGGAGGGTGGCCAGAACATACAAGCCCTTACTTCAGGAGACACTCCTGACACCACACTGGCCAGCTACTCTTTCACTGGGCAAAAACATTTCTGGCCCAAGGGTTGTACTACCTAACCCCCAGTTTATGAGATGTGGGCCCATGTGGGTCCCAGGAGGAATCCTGATCACAAAGGTCTTCTGTGAACTCTATACTCTAAAGCTCCATGAGAAAAGAGAGGTTTTCCCTACGTTTGTCTGCCCACACCCCACCCACCCCCATTCCTCCCAGCACCAAGGGCACTCTTCTATATACAGCCAGTGCTTAATAAATGTTTGCAGCTGGAAGCCTAGAGATATCTGAGAGAAGTATGGAATGACCATGTCCACTTGGATATGGGGATTCAGCCAGTTAGACTGCGGACTTGAGGACACAGAGGTGAAAGTGGGGGCGGACGGTGGGGGTCCTGAGGAAGGTCGGCCCTCAATAAATGCCCTCTAAAAGACTCGGGCTCAGCACAGAAATCTGACCGTGGTTTCTCTGCTTTAGGGAGAGTGTAGTAAGGCCTCAGCTATGAAGAGGGGCTGGACAGGACAGCAGATTTGCTAGGCATACGCTATAATCCGCCTTTCTGATCATTGTGTTTAAAATCATGTTTAAAATCATGTTCCAGCATCATAGTTCACAGGCCATAGATTTAGAGTTGGAAGGGATCTTAGGGGTTATGTAGTCCTTGCTCCTCATTTTACAGATGAGGAAACTGAGGCTCAGAGTGGTTCAGGGGTCACACAGATGACACAGCTGAGCTTTGAATCCAGACTTTTGGACTCTAAATCCGCTTCCTTTTCCATTGTACCATCAGCACTTTAAATCATGATTAGGATGAAAATTTTCATGTATGTAAACAGATATCCCCGCACACAGATCACCTGGGAAAAACCCACAGTGACCTCAGGGCACCAGCCCTGGGGAAAAGCCTACTCGCTTTTAGGAGCGTCAGGCTCTTCCACATCTGACTGATGTCCTTGCCTGCCCCTCCTGTCAACAGTAGCTTGGTAGCGACAGGGGTGACATCAACCTCTGGAGACTCAGGGCAGTACTCACCAGGAAGTCTTGGAGCACGCCTCCAGGAAATCTGAGTGGAAGAGCCGGAGGGGTCTATCCACAGGTTGGTGCACCCACTCATCATACTTCTCTCCCAAGTGGCCCACCTGCCACAGTAAGGGCTTTTGCCAGTCAACCAGGTCCTTCAACAGAGAGGAAGGTCCACAGGGAGTGAGTGGGTCAGCAGAGCAAGTCGGGATCATCAGCACTCTGGGCCAGGAATTACACTGGCTTCTCTGGCTATAGCCCAGACTCTCTTCTGGCTGCTGAACTGGCAAAGTTAATCATTCACCCATCTATCCATCCATGCATGCAGTCATCTATTCATGTAGCCAGCAAGTATTTATTGAATATTTATATTCATTCATTCATTAATTCAACAGTTATTAAGCATCTACTGCATTCAAGGCATTGTGCAATGTGCTACCAGATACAAAGACAGTCCTTGACTCCACTGAGCTTATAGTCGACTTGAAGCAGTATAAAGCACTTATATGGAGAATAATATAAGCTAGGGAACCTATCCAGATTTGCAGAGGGAGGGAATACTGTCTACTAGAGCAGTGGGGTCAAATTCAAATAGAAACTCATCCTTGTCAGTATCATACTGACTTAGAAAACCACAAATTGACATTATCTATTTCATATACTATTTTTATTTTGTTAAACATTTCCCAACAAATTAAAAATATTTTCATTTGTTAAATGTTTCCCAATTATATTTTAATATGATTTCCCCAAGCTAGGAGTATGACACTTCTGTACTAGAGGACTTGGGGAAGGTTTCAGGGAATTGGGGGCAACTGAAATTGAGCCTTGAGAGAAGGATTCTAAAGGGCTAAAATTAGGAAGCCATATATTCCAAGTTATGGAAATAGGAGACTGAATGTTGAATTTAGTGACCAGCTACTTGTTCAGTCTGGCTGGACTTGAATGCTTGAAGAGAAGTAATGGAAAATAAAGTAGAAAAGTAGGTTGGAGCCAATCTGAGCAGAATCTGACATACCAAATTAAGGAACTGGTACTTTAGCCTAGCACCATGCTGGACACCATAGGACTAACAGATGACAAGTCAGTGGTCATTCTGCATTCCCAGAGTTTATAATTCAGATAGAAAGATGAAACAGACTAATCATATGCTATATTCTAGTATTGTCCCTTAAGTAGCAAAATGAATGACACAGATAAGGAACCTATGGGTGTGGAATGTTGTATATACTCTTAAATGTGGTTACTGTTTGGGTTGGTTTTTTTTTTGTTTTTTTTTTTACAAAGGAAGGCTAACTGAGTGGGGTTGGGGGTCTTACCTAGAAATGACTATGATATAAAAATAAAAAGCATCAATAAAATGTAATATTTAAAAAATTAAATCAATAAACCATTAAAGATGAGTAATACAAGTCCTGAGTACTAGAAGTGTACAGAAAATGGGAAGGTCAATCAGGGGCTTGGTCTAAGATGAGTAAAGAGGCCAGGGGAGACATTCCAGGTGAGAGAAGAGAATAATAAGAAAGACTTAGAGTTGGGAATGATGGGAAATATCAAATAGACCAGACTGACTAGGGCAGAAGTTTGCTACTATTGGGAAACAGTGGGAGATGAGTTTGGATAATAAGACTGAGGTTAGATTATAGTAGGCCTTGAATACCAGATTCCAAAGTGAGGAGTAAAGGGTTCTTTTTGCTTACATAAAGAATAAGTGCAATGTATTGGAAAGAGCACTGGTCTTCAATTCAAGCAGACCTTGGTTCAACCCTGCCTTGGCCACTTACTAACCTCAGATACTTTCTAGCTGTGTAACCTTGGGCAAGTCACTTAACCCTGTTTGCCTCAGTTTCCTTAACTGTATCTTTGTGAAGAAAACCCTAAATGGGGTTACAAAGAGTTAGATCCGACTGAAAAATGACTGAACAACAGAACAGAACATCAGGCATACCACATTGGGTCAACCATATCTACTGTTCACAGTTGAGTGTTCTGTTTCTGATGGGGGCTCCCTGAACAGTGCTACAAAAGACTGGATGTCCTTACAGAATCATGTCAAAGGGACCCTGGAGGGCATTTTGTCCAACTCCTTTAAGTTATAGATTAGGAAACCTGGGCCCAGAGAGGGAAAAGGGTCTTGATCCAGGGTTATGTGGTTTGTCATAGAGACGCAGCAGGGCTGGGATTCAAATCCCCATCATCTCACTTTTAATCCGGGATTCTCTCTTCTATGAAGAAAGCAGTAGTTGAATGTGGCATTTACATCAATTCTCATCTGCTTCTCTTCTCCCTGGTCCCAATTTGTCAATGACGCCTCCTTACCCCTATCACTTCCACCCCCCTCCCAACAAGTCCGGTGGTTCCTCCCCTGAGTCCCATGGGCATAGTGGGGCACAGCTCTGAACCACAGCTTCCCAACCCTCTCCTCAACAACCCAAACTTCTTGACTTTCCCTCCAAGAAATGCTTCTGGCTCTCCAGACTCCTCCAGGTACCTTGTCACCCTGGAACATCTCTGTCATGTTGGCCCCCTTCTCCCACTGGGAAAGTTCTTCTGGGGCCTCCATTTTTGACAAAGGTCCAAGCCAGTCATGCTTCATTCCTCTTTCTGCTGTTCAGCTTATTTTAAGGATTTTACCACCATGCCCATTCCACCCAGATGCCTCCTCTTTCCCCAGCTTTTCAGTTCCCTTTTATAGGTTGTCTTTCCTCTGTAGAATATAAGCTCCCTGAGGGCAGGGACTGTCTTTTTTTTTTTTTTTTGCCTATATTTGTATTCCAAGCACAGTACATGACACTTTCTAACCATTTAATAAATACTTGTTGCCTGCCTGCCTTCCAAGGTTAGGGAAATCTCAACATTATAGTTTTCCATACTATTATGCCAGCCATACTGGACAAGACTCTTATTTACAGGCTATAAATTCTGACCAAACTGAATTATCAGCTCTTCCCTGATCTTGTTCTGTGCTTGAATTCAAATCCCCTCATGTCTAAAATCACCGCTTTGTCATCTTCCATCTCTAGAAATTCTTCTCTTCCTTCAATGCAGTTTAGATGACACCTCTTTAGCGACAGCATGATGCTGTGGTAAAATTCCAGGCACAGGCCTACTGGACAAAAAGACTAGAAAAGTGGAAGTAGCAACTTTCAGACTGGATAGGTAGGAGAGCCACAACAGTCATACGGGAAGGAGGCACTGACTGCCTGGTACAAAGAAAACCCGGAAGAGAATCTGGATAGGGGACAATATCCCTACCAGGGATGAAGTAAGGTAAATCTCTTCCCATTCCTAGGATCACAGATCTAGGATGATACATTTTCTTCCTTTCATGCTTCCTTCTTTTCTCACTAATCTACAAGTCACTACTATAATGATCAGAAAGAAGAATTGAGGAAAAGGCTAGTCTCAGGCAATACAGAGCAGGTTATTTCCACAGGCGCCAGGGCTAGGAAAAATCTGAGTATTCCTAAGGAAATTAGAGGCAGCTAAGATCAACATAAGAAAATGAGGCACCTCTATGCCAAGTTTGTTTTGCAAAGCATCCCTTAGGTTCTGGGTCTTCTGATAATTTGAGACATTCTTCTTCAGGAAGATGATGCTACCAGGGATGGTAATTTGTGTTGGGGGAGGGAAGTAAAGAAGAATCTCCAATCATGGCACAGCAGAGCAGTAATTCAAAAAACCAAGGTCCTTTATTAAAGTCAAAAGTGGATTAAGAATCTTTTCTCTAAACTACAATAGCACTTTGAGGTGGACAGTACCTTAGGAGGCATCTAGTTCAGCTTCCTCATTTTACATGAGGCCCAGAGAATGGCCATGACTTGTTGGAGATCACAGAGACAGTAAGTAGCAATCAAAGGAGCAGTTACTTTTAGATAACTATTTCTATTTAGCTCTTACTTTACTAAAGAGGCAGCATGGTATAATAGGAAGAACTCTGGATATGGAGTCAGAAGACCTGGATTCAAATCTTGCTATGCTACTTACTATTAGCATATTAGCACTTACTATTGGTGTGATGTTGGGCAGGTCATTTTCACAGTCATCAGTCAAATGAATTTGGACTACCTAATTACCAAAGACCAAAGTCTCCTGCAGCCCCAAATCCCATGATCTTGTCTCTCCAATTAGCATGTAAAGGCAAGGACTATGTTTCATGCCTCACAGTATCCAGTAGGCTTCAATGAATATTTGTTAATGGTCTGATTGAGAAGGAAAATTTGGGTTTTCTTGGTAATGTGCTTGTTCTACTATTCTTCTATCTCGTGGTAGCCCTTTGAGTTAGACTTCAGTCCACGCTGCTATCCATAACCTGTACTCACACTGTGCTCAGTTATCCAATTGAATTATTAAGATTTTTTTCTCTGGGGCCCAAGGTAGTATTGATGATACTTTAAATAAAATAAATGTGTATTGTGGTTTATTGTGCTTCTCCCCCTCATTGGGAGTCTGACCTCCAACGGTAGCCATTGTCATATCCCCATGAGTTCACAGAAGGCAAGAATCTATTCAAGAGGATAGGAATGTTTATGCAGGTGGGGATTACTTTTTTTCCTCCTTTGCTCTGGAAGAGAGAATTTAGTTTAGCTGTGTGGGGCCCCTGGAGGTGTTAGGATTAGGCCAGGAAGGACAAACAACAATAACAACGACCATTGGCCATGCAGGCTGTTTACAAAGGGTTCCCTAAGAGGGTTTAATTTTTCTTTCATTTTTGCTATGTTTAATACGTTATGTGGTAGCATGCTGTTATGTGCCTTTGTCTTGTAAATGTAGGACACTATTTCAGAGAGAAGAGAGATTCTAGACGTGGGCTGGGGATGGAACCACAGCCTTCCTATTTACAACTGCCTTTACAAAAGACAGTATTTCATATTATCCTTCCTATCCTTCCATTTTATACTATCCTTCCAGACAATGTAGGTTTTAAACTACTTAGCCACTTGGAGTTCTGGGCCTGTGGTGGAGAGGAAGACTCTCTCAATCATGTGCCAGAGAAACTCCAAGACAACTTGGTTGGTGGCTTGAGTTGAGTGCTACAAGGTGAACAACTCAGATATTATATCCCCTTGCTGGATAGTTAATATAGTAACACACTGCCTTTCTGTAAGCTTAAGGAAGGCAACTTAGGCACTAGTTTGGACTGGTTACATGAAAT